AGCTGCGGGAGAGGCGCTGGCTCTCAGACCGCCATTGAACGCAGGGGACGGCTGGCAGCCAGAGAAGGGGAGGGGGAGTTACAACGGGGGGAGTTACTGACTTCCACACACAGGGGGTGGAACAAGGCTGGGAGCTGCCTGCAGGGTGGTGGGGGTGAGCAAGCAGGGGGGCCTTTGCTGGGCCGGAGTGCGTGGGCGAGAAGCCAGAGGCCGGCAGGGCTGCCCTATCGGACTTGGCATTTCTGCCAAAAGCAGCAGCCTGCATGGGGAGTTTGTCGTCTGCCATTCAGGGGCACAGGCCCTGGGCTACACCTTGTAAACAGAGGAGGCAGGGGTAGCTCAGTGGTTTGAGCATATCTGCCATTCAGTGGCACAGGCCCTGGGCTACACCATGTCAACAGAAGGGGGGAGGACTAGCTCAGTGGTTTGAGCATTGGCCTACTAAACCCAGCATTGTGAGTTCAGCCCTTGAGGGGAGCCATATTTGGCTCTTGGGCAAGTCTGTCAGGGATGGTGCTTGGACCTGCTGCATATAGAGCTCTTGGGCAAGTGTGTCAGGAATGGTGCTTGGACCTGCTGTGAGGGCAGACACTAGCCAGTCTCTGCAGCACCAAGTCTCTAAGGGCTTGGTCAAAGGGCAATCAGAGCAAGTCACCTGCAGAAGCAGGGGAGCTGCTCAGGCTATCAGCTTGGGGGGGTATGTTCCAATGAAGGAGCAGAGATCTCTCTGTTGCCTAGAGGGTAAATGGCCTTAGCTTATTTCCCTCTTCCAGTTCTTTCTTCTCCCCTTCCCCCTCCAGCCACGTCCCACATCTTCCATCCCTGTGCACCACCCTGCTTCATTGGGCTTCCCCCTGCTTTCTCAGAGAAACATCGTTCCTGCCTTTTCACTCGGTCTCTTTCCCATTTACCCCCAGGCTCCGCCTGGTACACCCTTTGTGCTGCCCCCATCTTCCCGTGTGTCTATTGTCTCTGCAATCCGGCCTCCGTCTGCAATAAATCTTGCCCAGGGTTCTTCCATCTCTGTGAGATAATATATCTCTGTATGTTGAAAGCTAGCTAGTCTCTACTGCACTAAGTCTCTGCAGGCTTGGCCAAAGGACAACCAGAGCAAGTCCCCTGCCAGAAGCAGGGGAGCTGTTCACACACAGGGCTCAGGCCATAAGGTGGAGGGGTATGTTCCAATGAAGGAGCACAGATCTCTTGGTTGCCTAGAGGGTGAATGGCCTTAGCTTATTTCCTTCTTTCTTCTCCCCTTCCCCTCCAGCCACATCCCATATCTTCCATCCCTGTACACCACCCTGCTTCATTGAGCTTTCTCCCTGCTTTCTCAGAGAAACACCGTTCCTGCCTTTTCACTCGGTCTCTCTCCCATTTACCCCCAGGGTCCACCTTCTGCTCCCTCTATCCCTCTGTGATGCCCCCATCTTCCTGTGTGTCTATTGTCTCTGCGATCCGGCCTCCGTCTGCAATAAATCTTGGTCCAGATACATCTTAGGAAGGAATCCGAATTTCATTATCCCCGTGTCACAGATGGGGAAACTGAGGCACAGCATTTTTGCCACTGAGTGGGCCAGTGGCAGGTCAGAGGAGTTTCTTGCTCTGTCCTAACCTCAGCTCTCTGCATCATGCGGTCTTTCCTGTTACTCAGCTGCCATGCCCACCTGTGAACACAGAGAGAGCTGGCAGCAGTCCGAGGACTATAGCTGCAATCTGGTGACACCACTCTGCAGCTTTCGGCTCTGCAGTCGCTCCCCGCCCCTTTTGTGCCTCAGTTTACCCACCTGCAATGAGAGTAATAATACAGATTTGGGAATTTAATAGCGGGACCCTGGAGATCATCTAGACAGATCACCTGTATAATCCAGGCCACAGAAGTTCACCCATTCATTGCTGCATGATACCCAGTAACCCAAGGTTCAACTAGAGCAGGCCTTTGAGAAAGACAACTCTAGTACTAGTGTTTGATAGCACTGGACTAGACCCGCTAAATCGAGCGCCAGAAGATGGATCTCCAGTGTGGCAAGGGAAGACGTGGTCGCCGGTCAAATGGAATGCAAAGCACCGTCCCCAGGCGTGGCAAGGGAAGACGTGGTCAAATGGAATGCAAAGCACCGTCCCCAGGCACAGTTCTCCACGTAGCACATGACTCCTTACCCCATCCTCTTTGAAGTCACACTCCTCCATCGCAGCTCTCTCCGACCCCAGGCACACCGTCTCTTTCACGAGGAAGTGCAGCTCTCGGACACCTGGAGAGTTCCCGTCCTAAGCGTTTCAAGGAAAAGACAAACGTCTGTGAGAGAAAGGAATCGAACTGAGGCATCAGCAGCGTTCCAGGCCTCCCTATGGGGCTTGGCCAGCAGCTGCAACTCGCCAGCAGGGCTGGCTTGATCGCAAAGCCACGGAAGTCACTGGGAGTCTTTTCACAGGCTTGGCTCTGGGCCGATACCCAGCAGCCCAATACTGGCCTTCACTCACCCCACAGACACCACTACCTCAGCGGAGGGCAATAAACCAGCAGTGGTTCACCAGGGTTAGCCCCTGGTTGGCCACTGCCACTATATTTACTTGCACCTCTGCAGGCCCCAGGCATAATAGTGATCCGTGGCCAATGGGAGCTGTCATGCTCCCTCCCCCGTCGCCGTACCTGCGGAAGCACAGGTAAATACGACCGTGTGGGGTCCCACCGGGGCTAACCCTGGCAGACTGGATCCGTCCTGGGGACTGGTATTTGCCCACCCCTGCACGACCTGGCGTCAGCTCCTTATTCTAGGGAGTTTGAAACAATAAGGCCAGATCTTGCTCAAGTGGAAATCAGCAGTAGCTGAGGGGTTTCGTCTGCACTTTCCTGGAGATGCCCAATGCAGGGGTGGCGAGTAGAGTTGCCAGGTGTCCGGTATTCTACTGGACAGTCCGGTATTTGCGCCCTCTGTCCGGTAAAAAAAATTAGAAAATACCGGGCACGTGCAATGTCCGGTATTCTCAGATTTTTCTGGCGGTGCACCGGACGGAAGCCTGGCGTGGGCGGGAGGAGTGGACGGAAGGCGGGGCCACGATCGATGCTAGGAGCCTGTGATTGCGCAGAAGCCTGGCGGGGGCAGGTGGAGTGTCTGGGAGTCTCAGCTGGGAGGCAGGGTGGCGATGGCTGCTCTGGGCGCATCAGTACGGGGGAGGCGGGGGGAGTGGCTGGGGGGGAGTGTCCGTACTTTTTTGTTTTGTTTTTGGGGGTTTTTTTTACTTCTCACTTGTGTGTGTCCTCCACCTGATTCTTCTGTGGGTCAGTGGCCCCTGACCGAAAAAAGGTTCCCACGGGATGGATCAGCCTGCGTATGCAGAAGTCAGAGTCCTGAGCGGTTCGGGGGTTTTTTTACTTCTCCCTTGTGTGTGTCCTCCACCTGATTCTTCTGTGGGTGAGTGGCCCCTGACCGAAAAAAGGTTCCCACGGGATGGATCAGCCTGCGTCTGCAGAAGCCAGAGTCCTGAGCGGTCCATGGTTTCAGTCCCCAGCTAATCCACATCTGGGCCCCAGATTAATTCGTCTGAGCTCAAGGCCAGACGGGGCGTAGAGCATCTGACCTGAATATTGCCCAGGTACTTACCCAGCCAGACGGAGAGTCTGCCCGCAGGAGCCGGAAGTGAGAGCGGGATGGATCAGCCTGCGTCTGCAGAAGCCAGAGTCCTGAGCGGTCCATGGTTTCAGTCCCCAGCTAATCCACATCTGGGCCCCAGATTAATTCGTCTGAGCTCAAGGCCAGACGGGGCGTAGAGCATCTGACCTGAATATTGCCCAGGTACTTACCCAGCCAGACGGAGAGTCTGCCCGCAGGAGCCGGAAGTGAGAGTCCCCAGCTGCCCTCTGGTTGTAGAGGCCTACAGCGCGGGAGACAGCCTCCTTGTAGCTCAGTGTCCCTGGCGGAGGTGACGGGGTGGTGGCTATGGCCACCCCGAGCACCAGTAGAAGGGCCCATTTCACCATCCTGCCTTCTAGGCTGGGCTGTGCGAGCTGGGAACACTCTGGGGGAGTCCTTTTCCGAGCTGCTTCCTCTCGGGCAAGGCGGGTGGTGACAGATTGTCTTCTCTGCTCCTGTTTCCCCCGAGACTGCAGCCTTCTCTTGCACCGACAGGAAACGGCAGCTGCTCAGGGTGCTCAGGTATGCAAATTGGGGGAGTTTGGTTCGAGCAGTGGGTGCGGGGAGGGACGGGGAGGGGGGCGCTTTCTCAGTTGGCCTGGATTAGCATGAACACATGCTGGGAGGAGATGGGGAAGGCACACAGGCGGTGAAGCAACTGTCTCTTGTTTCCCGAATCACAGATTTAGGGCTTCACACTCCACTGGGCTCTCAGTAACCCACAGCCCTTGATAACAGGCTCAGCCTGTTTTCGCTGCTGGTCCTCATGTAACCCACGCACCTACTGACAGCGGTGCACTGTCCGACCTAACGACACCAAGACCCCTTACAGGGAGAATGAGATTGCTACAGCCTGAGCTGAGAGCCAACTGGGTTTTCAGCTCAGAAGGTGCAGGCTCATGCACTGAGCTCCAGAGGATCGTGGTTTGATTCCTCCTGCCGGCGTTACGCTAGCATCGTACAGAGGGAGTGTACGCTTTCCATGTGCTGTCAGGACCAGAAATCTCCCACTGCCTGTGAAAGGCCACGTGGGTTTTAACTGGACTCAAGTGGCACTGAAGATCCTGAGCTGGTATGAAGTAGCGTCGTTCTCTTGACATCAGCTGTATTTGTCCCTCATAAGAGAGAAGACTGGGAAGGGACATGAGAGCGGTTTTCAGGTATCTAAAAGGGTGTCATAAGGAGGAGGGAGAAAAATTGTTCTCCTTGGCCTCTGAGGATAGGATAAGAAGCAATGGGCTTAAACTGCAGCAAGGGAGGTTTAGTTTGGACATTAGGAAACACTTCCTACCTGTCAGGGTGGTTAAACACTGGAATAAATTGCCCAGGGAGGTTGTGGAATCTCCATCACTGGAGATATTTAAGAGCAGGCTGGATAAACATGATTTGGATGGTGCTTGGTCCTGTAGTGAGGGCAGGGGACTGGACTCAGTTCCCCTTCCGGTTCTAGTGTCCTACGATTCTATGATTCACTTCCTGTTCTAGTGTCCTACGATTCTATGATTCATGACTTTGCCCCAGCAAAAATGGGGCGGGATTGTTTGAAGAACCAAGTGTAGAGAGAGCAGAATAAACACGTTAATGTTACATAAATATGTAGAGCGATCAATGTTGGATGACTTCGTAATGTTTTGCAATAGGTAATTCATTCTTAGGCCCTTCCCTCCCACTAGCCTTAGGCCCCTCAGAAACTTAATCTGGCCCTGGCCTGGCGTGGCCACCTCAAACTGTTCTATGGATGGGGCAGCTCTGCCTATTCTGTAGCAAGAGCAGCCCTGGGAGCCCAGGTAACTGGGGAACTCTAGACCCTCCACCTACCCTGAGCAAGGAGCCGGGGAACCCGAGAGCAGCTCCCAACCCATGCCCCTGCCTCCCAGAGATGGCCATCCAGAACAGGTGGAGGGTCCAGGTGTAACCCACACACCTAGCATGATTACTGAGCAATGCAAGTGGTACCTAGCCCACAGCAACAGCTAAGATCAAGAGACCCCTACAGCACGGGCTGGGAGGCAGTTGGCTTTTAGCTCAGAGGGTAGAGGCTCCTATACTCAGCTCCAGAGATCCCAGGTTCAAATCCACCTGGTGGTGGTTTCACAGGGGTCACCAGGCTCCCTGGGCAGTTCATACAACGGTCCATCTGGCAGCCAGGGCTGGGGAGGGCCAGACCCCATGGTGGTGGGTGGAGGGAGGCCCAAATATGCTTTGAGCCAGTGCTCCAATACCTCTAAATCATCCCAAGAACAATTGTTCGGTGTCCTCTCTATCACGGCCCTGACCATATTTGTTACCAGGCCGCCACAATCTTCCTGTCCTTTCCTCATCGCTCAGACTTTCTAACCCTTCCCTCGTTTGGGTGGCTCTCCTCGGGACTTTCTGCAGTTTGTGTGTGTGTTTTTTGCGACGCGTGGCACCCATCTCTGGACACAGCCCTCCCTGGGGCTGTCTCCAGCATTGAGTGGAATAAAATAAATATCCCCTGGGCCTTACATAGGACACCTCTGTGAACACCCCCCAGAATGCTATTCGTCTGTTTCACCACAGCAGCTCGTGGCTGGCTCTTCCTCTGTCTTTCCCCCGACGTAGTTCTGCATTTGATTCTTCCTTTTCTCTTTGCGCTTGTCTTTCCTACGTTTTATTTTTTGATTGCAGAAGAGTTCTCCCATTTATCACGGTGCTTTTGGCTTCCGATCCCATCCTGCAAAACACTTGCCACTCCTTTCAGGCTGGGGTTATATGCAAATGTTATAAGCAGACGCTCTACCTGCCTAGATCTGGGAAGGTGTATGTGTGAGACCAGCTCCTGGTGTGTGTCCCGATCCCCCTGGCCTCCCATCCAGGGCAGGTGGAGGGTCTGTGGCTCCGGGGCTAGCTGGTAACTCTTACCCCAACTTTCTCTGTCTTTCAGCCTGGGGCTACCAAGCCATTCTAAGATCCATCCAGGCAGCTGTGGAAAGCCACAGTCCTTCTCCAGCTACCCTAGGTGGAGGAACTGAGGGGTGTGGACACGGACCAGCGTTTGCTCTTGGGGTGGTTCCCATTCTGGGCAGGTGGAGGGTCCACAAGCCATTCCTACCTGGGCGGCCAGACTCCAAGTTCAGGGCTGACCAGGGAGCAGCACCTCAGGGGGATAGAAGGGGTAGAGGGATGGGCTTGGCCCAAAAGGGGGGGTGGGCATGGCCTCTAGTGTCCCCCCCCCCTCCATTCTGGAATCCCTGCTACCTTTGCGATCTGGAAAGTTGCTCCAACAGACGATTAAACGACCCATTCACAAGCACGTAGAATAGAGCCGCATGGTAAGTAGCCACCAAAACGGATTTGTCAAGAACAAATCACTCCCCATCGACTTCATTTCTTTCTTTGCTGGATTTCTAGCCCGGGGCCACAGTGAAGCAACAGAGGTGACCTAGCTTGAGTTTAGTGGGGCACGGTCAGCGTCTATCCCATGTGTATGGAAGATAATCCAGGATGGGTGAGGAATGGTGTCCCTAGCGTCTGTTCATCAGAGGGTGGAGATGGATGGCAGGAGAGAGATCGCTTGATCATTACCTGTTCGATTCACTCCCTCTGGGGCACCTGGGATTGGCCACTGTCGGCAGACAGGGTACTGGTCTGGATGGACCTTTGATCTGACCCAGTACGGCCGTTCTTATGTTTTTATAATTGCTAATGGTTCCAGATTCCTTCACCTAGCTCCTTACATACCCTTGGGGTGAACAGCATCCAGCCTTGCCAACTTCAGTTCGTCTAACTTACTGAAATATGCTTCGATCTGTCTGTGCCTGTTCTGGCTGGTGTTCCTTCCCCCTTCTTGGGAAGCAGCTGGTCACAATCAATTCTCTTAGTGAAGAGTGAAACCAAATAGGATGATTCTGCTTTGTATCATCCGTTATTCCCTCCCCTCCCTCCTTAAGCCCCTTCCTTCATCTTACTCTTGTTCCTGATGCCGTTATAGAACCTCTTCCCATTGCCGGATTGGTTCCCTGCTAGCAGTAACTCACTGTGGCTACGTCTACACTGGCATGATTTTCCGAAAATGCGTTTAACGGAAAACTTTTCCGTTAAAAGCATTTTCGGAAAAGCGCGTCTAGATTGGCAGGATGCTTTTCCGCCAAAGCACTTTTTGCGGAAAAGCGTCCGTGGCCATTCTAGACGCGAGCATTTTTGGAACAGAGTGTCTAGATTGGCACGGACACTTTTCCGCAAAAGCACTTTTTGCGGAAAAGCGTCCGTGGCCATTCTAGACGCGCTTTTCCGCAAAAAAGCCCTGATCGCCATTTTCGCAATCGGGGCTTTTTTGCGGAAAACAAATCTGAGCTGTCTACACTGGCCCTTTGGCGCAAAAGTCTTTTGGAAAAAGACTTTTGCCCGAACGGGAGCAGCATAGTTTTTCCAGAAAAGCACTGACGATCTTACATGAGATCGTCAGTGCTTTTCCGGAAATTCAAGCAACCAGTGTAGACAGCTGGCAAGTTTTTCCGCAAAAGCAGATGATTTTGCGGAAAAACTTGGCAGTCTAGACACAGCCTGTGTGTCCCAGCCTTCCTGGTTTAGTCCCTGCAGGCTTGGGCCGTTCCTTTACATGCGGACTTAGCGCTTGGGCCTTGTTTCACACTGTGGCGTTCAGCTCACTAACGAGCCCCTGATGCAGCCGCCGTGGCCTCTCGTTAGCATGCCTGGCCCTCACGGTGCCAAATTCACAGGATTTAAGGCGAGAGCATGAGAGCAGCAGAAGCAGGTTTGTTGTCAGGCCAAACAGCTCACGGCTGATGGGCTTTGCACCTTTCGCCAGCCTGCTGGGTGATTTGGTCCTGTTTGGTTCTGTCCTGGGAGGCGGGAAGGGAGCTGTAGGGTTGTCTCAACTTGCTAGCCCCTTGTGCTAGCAGCCTGACCACCACTGGTGTGTCTGGGTGGGAGAAACCCTGGGGCAGCCCCGCTTGTTCCATAGGGGGGAATTCACCCCAAGACAGAGGGGCTGCAGCGGGTCCTGAGCACCACCAAGCTTTTAACACGAGATCCCTCGGTGCTCCAGTGTGGTCAGCCTCCACGGAGCAATTTCTCTGGGTTTTGTGGCCCGGCCTGTGTCCGCTAGAACAGTGGTTCCCAACCTGTGGCCTGAGGACCCCTAGTGGTCCACGGTGGTACTGAAGGAAGTACTCAGAAAGTTGGGCGCTGAGAGGCTCCATGCAGGCAGCCAGCAAGTCCCTCAGCCCCCGCTGCTTCTCGACTGGGCTGAGGGACGTGGCTTAGGAATCAAATCGGGCTGAGGGGCTAGCTGGTTGCAGGCACAGCTATATTGTTTGGGGGGGTCTGTAAAATTGTCAGGGATTGAAAAGGGGTCGGGCGGTGAAACACTGGAATAAATTGCCCAGGGAAGTTGTGGAATCTCCATCACTGGAGATATTGAAGAGCAGGCTGGATAAACATCTATCAGGGATGATTTGGATGGTGCTTGGTCCTGTAGTGAGGGCAGGGGACTGGACTCAGTGCCTCTTCCGGTTCTAGTGTCCTATGATTCATGACTTTGCCCCAGCAAAAATGGGGCGGGATTGTTTGAAGAACCAAGCGTAGTGAGAGAAGAATGCTGGAAAAGGTTGGGAGCTGCCGTCCTAGAACAAACAACCACGGGGCCTTCTCCACTTTCCGGCTGGAACAGGCTCTACGTCAGGGAAGCTGGACAAGCCCACGATGGGCGGGACCATTAACCCGGTTAAGGGCCTAAATCCATGGCTAGATACACCCTGTGCCTTACGGCCCCTGAGGCCAATGTGGCGCCATCTTGTGGTGGATGAATGAAAGTTCTAGTTTGTAAACCACAGCATGCCACGGGCCCGTGGTGGGTTATCTGCGGCTCCAGGCCACATGCAGCCCATCCGGGTTCTAGATGCAGCCTGCAAGACATTTTGTTTATCCTTGTTCCTGTATAGGGTTGCCAGATTCTGCTGGCTTCTGCCCAGGTCATTTTTTGGTTGGTTGGTTGGTTGGTTTGGGGACCAGTATGCCTGTAAAGCGAGGGCACTTGAAACAAAGTGGGGGCTGATTGCACACAGCTCTGACGGCGAGAGACGGGCCCTCCGTCTGCCTCCAAGCAAAGCCCTGCTCCGGTTCCATCAGCACAGCCCACGAACTCCAGGGATGCAAGCTCAGTTGGGGCAAGGGCTAGCTTGGTGTTTTGACCCAGGGCTGTGAGTTCAGTCCCTGGGGGGGCCATTTAGGAGGCTGGGGCAAATCTGTCAGAGATGGTGCTTGGTCCTGCCAGGAGGGCAGAGGACAGGGCTCAATGACCTCTCAAGGTCCTGGATATTAGGAAAAACTATTTTACTAGAAGGGTAGTGAAGCATTGGAATGGGTTACCTAGGGAAGTAGTGGAGTCTCCATCCCTAGAGGTATTTAAGTCTCGGCTTGACAAAGCCCTGGCCGGGTTGATTTAGATGGGATTGGTCCTGCCTAGAGCGGGGGGCTGGACTTGACGACCTTCTGGGGTCTCTTCCAGTTCTATGATTCTATAAGGGGATGGTTGGATGAAATAACATGATCTTGGTAACTAATTGACCATTCATTATCAGTTGGAAATAGGTCAATGGAGGGATGATAGGAGTTGCTATAGGGAACTTTCTGGGTGTCTGGCTGGTGAGTCTTGCCCACATGCTCAGGGTTTAGCTGATCGCCATATTTGGGGTCAGGAAGGAATTTTCCTCCAGGGTAGATTGGCAGAGGCCCTGGAGGTTTTTCGCCTTCCTCTGTAGCATGGGGCACAGATCACAGCTGAAGGACTCTCTGCATGTTGGGGCCTTCAAAGTATTGGAAGGCTTCAATATCTGAGACATAGGTGAGAGGATTATTCTAAGAGGGGTGGGCGAGATTCTGTGGCCTGCACTGTGCAGGGGGTCAGACTAGATGATCATAATGGTCCCTTCTGACCTTAAAGTCTATGAGTCTATGAGAACCTTCTAAGGTACCACTTGGGTGTACCCTAACATGGAATGGACATGAGTAAGCACTTGAAGAAAAAAAAAATGGTTACTAACCTTTTTGTAACTGTTGTTTTTCAAGATGTGTCACTCATGTTCACCTGTCCTGTTCTGACCCTATCTCAGGAGACCTCATCAGTCTTCCAGTCCACTTGCTAGTAGGGTTGCCAGGTGTCTGGTTTTGAGCCCGACAGTCTGGTATTTGAGCCCTGTTTTCGGGAAACATTGAGAAAATAGAAATGTCGGGTATTTTCTAAATCGGATGGAATGTCGGTTACGATGGAATGTCAAGTGTGTCCGGTATTTTTGTTGAAACCATCTGGCAACCCTACTCACTAGCCCAGCTGGCCCATGGCTGCCAGGGGCCCTCCATTGTCTAGAGCAGGGGTTCCCAACCTGGAGTACATGTACCCCCAGGGAGTACAAGAAACTTGTCAAGGAGGCCCAGGGAATATTTGGTAAATAACTAGATTATCCTAATTGAAATATTCCAAAAGTCGTAGTTAGTGAAAAAAGTTGTGGATTCTAGAGTCTAGAATTTATTTCCCTTCATATTGAATAGGGGGTACGGGAAGATTTACAAAAGCCAAGAGGGTACGGGGACCGAAAAAGATTGGGAACCCCTGCCCTAGAGGGAGCGTTTTGATTTTGGGTGGCTCCGAATTTCGGTGCCGAAGTCAAGATGTTTTGCGGGGCCTCTTTTTCAGAGCAAAAAGGGCTCTGGCCTGTCTGAAAATCAGGCCCCTTTGTGGCCATCGTGGGTTGTCACCCAAAAGAGTGAGCTGCTTTTCACGAGCTGGGCCTCCGTGTCTGGATCTCTTGCAGTTGGGCAGGGGAGGGTTAGGGTGAGCGAGGCTGGCCTGTGACTCTGAGACAGGGGCTTTCCGTGGCCAGCGGCACAGCCGGGTGACTCCCTTCGGTTCATGTCCCTAAGCGCCTCCTGCAATATGGATGAAGACGACAAACATTTGGGTTCGCAGAGAAGCCATTTATTGCGCAGAGGAGGCTGGGGGAACAGCACTGGGGCAGCCACTGCGCAGTGGGGAGAGACACTGCAACGAAGCGGTTGAGATGGGTAGGGGTCCGGTTTCTGACAGTGTTTCCTCCCGGGGGAGGAAAAACGGAGACGCGGGTGGGTCTGGCAGCATCGGAACTCTTTTGTCTCCTCCCCTGCTGGATCCCGCTAGCCAATCAGCTTGAGACCAGTCGAAATGATTTGCCAGCGATTTCTGCGAATAAACCTACCCGCTCTCCTCTTGAATCTCCCCCAGCGGCCCCGGGTGACGATATCAGGCTAGAGGGGGGAAAGATCAGGGTGAGCATGTCCATGCAGAGCCATACCGGTCCCTACATCTCGGCAAATGAGACTTTGCGCTCTTGTGTTTTATTTCTAATGACTTGAGGCCCCAACTTTGATTGCAGCTGCAGCAGTTGCTATACAAAGGCAAAGGGCTTAACAGGCACAAAGGCTGGGCGGGGAACAGGGTGACATGCCCAAGGTCACACAGCTGGTCAGTGGCAGAGCAGGGAGGAGCACCAATGTTCCAATCCAGTGCCATCTCCCCTGGAGCACATGGCCTCTGCTGAGCCAATGAGCTCATCCAACCAGAGTCACGGCAGGCCCAGGTGGCTACGGGAGGGGAGGAGTAGCCCTCAGGAGGGAGCCTTGCTGCTGGGCTCTTGGACAGAGCTCTGCCTCTAGGGGAGGGGCAGGAGCTTGCCAGCTGCAAGGACAGCGCGCCAGGGCCGTGCCATTGAAGGCTCAGGATGATACACTCAGCCCTTACCCCATTCCCCTTGGCTGTCTCGAACCCGCACCCCCGGCTTGGGCAGGTCGCTGCTGCAGGGCAGGAAGGAAGGGCCCTGCCTGGCACCTTTTTGTCTGGTGTGTGGGATCAGGGGCCTTTCAGTGCCTGCACCATGCAATGTGTGTCAATGTCACCCGCAAAGGCAGCTGGTGAGGAGGCTCCCGGCCCCTCCCTCAGCCCCACTTGCCCTGCCCCCAGGCACTGCATGGAGCCTGAGGTTTCCTCTGTATCCCAGAGAGACTGGAATCTGCTCCCAGCGCTCTGGTGGCTGCAGGGCTCCTCCTCCAGGCTCGGGAGAGAACTTTGCAAACTCGCTGCCAGCAGGGGGAGCTCCTGAGGACGCTTGTGCAGCACGAAATACCCAGCCAGGATCTCGGCAAGGGATACCCTTAACTCTGCCCCTGCCCAGCCAGGTCACTCACCTCCTCAGACGCATCCTCGCATTTGATCATGGCAGAGGGGGGGTCCTGTTCAGTGGAGAAGAATCCAGAGCAGTCTTTGATCAGCTGCCGGGGAGAGAAAAGAGCTCAGCGTGTGACCCTCAGGGAACCTCACCACTCAGGCGGCTTCGGTAAGGAGACCTGCTTCGCAGTGTGGTGCGGGTCACAAGTGCAGCAGGAGGTTGAGAGGTTCACACTCGGGCCTGGTTTGGGCGTTACACTGAGTCACGTCCCCACTGTGCGAGGCGCAGTGCAGAGACCAGGAAGACGATCTCTGCCCTGAGGCGTTTACAATCTATTTAAGCCGGGCCCGTGTTCAGTGGTGCCTGGCTGTGCGAGCAGTCAGAGTGGGCTCTTTGGCAGGACTTGTCTGCTCCAGCTGAGTGAGGGGGCACACAGAGAACGTCGGATGGGTAAATGGAGCTATAGAGACGAGGACGGATACTCAATGGAGCCCCGCGAGGCTGGATCACTCTAGGGCAGAGCATGCTTATCGGGCTTGCTGTTAAAGCTAGGATTTGGGAGACCTGGGTTGAATTCCCCACTCTGCCACTGCCCTAGTGTGTGGCCTTGGGCCAGTCACATCACCCGCCACTGACACTGGGATCAGAGTACTGCCTCTTGGCCAGCTTTTGCCCTAGAACTATAGATTCCTAGGGCTGGAAGAGACCCCACGAGGTCATCGAGTCCAGCCCCCTGCCCAAAGCAGGACCAACCCCAACTCAATCATCCCAGCCAGGGCTTTCTCAAGCTGAGACTTAAAAACCTCTAGGGATAGAGATTCCACCCCCTCCCTAGGGACCCATCCCAGTGCTTCCCCACCCACCTAGGGAAATCGTTTTTCCTAATATCCAGCTTTGACCTCCCCCACTGTAACTTGAGACCATTGCTCATTCTGCCATCTGCCCCCACTGAGACCATCTTCACTCCATCCTCTTTGGAACCCCCCTTCAGGGAGTTGAAGGCTGCTCTCAAATCCCCCCTCACTCTTCTCTTCTGCAGACTAAACAAACCCAAATCCCTCAGTCTCTCCTCATAGATCATGTGCTCCAGCCCCCTCATCATTTTGGTTGCCCTCCGCTGGACCCTCTCTAATGCGACCACATCCTTTCTGTAGTGGGGGGCCCAGAAATGGCCCTGCCTGTCTAAGATTGTGAACTTCTTGGGGGCAGGGACTGTCTGTGTAGCATCTGGCACTGTGGGCCCTGATCTCAGGGGGAACAAAATGCGAGGGGTGCCACAAATATTATATTGTACACAAGGTTCATTCCCCTCCTTCCCCCGCCCACTTCCTCTGACTTCAGCGAGGGGTCCCTGGTAGACCAGTGCTCCAGCTGACAACAGCAAACCTGAGATTCAAAGCCCTGTAGACCTGTCAGGAGGTGCTGGATGGATGGATGGATGTGTGTGTAACATTGGTGTCAGTAGTAGGATACAGTGGAAATGCACTGTACCGTAGCATCCTGGGCTCCATCAATTCCCTTATTGAAACGTGCATGCTCTGGGGGACCCGAGGACCTGAGCCATGTTGTTGGTCAATTGAAAGGACAGCTGTTGGATCCGGTGGTGCAGGAACAATTCTTAGGGTGGAGGGTGCTGAGTTCTGCCCCCTCCCTTACACCTCTTCGTGCTCCTCCCACAGTTGCCAACTCTTCTCGACCGGACCCACAGGATGCCAGTCGCAGCAATGGCATCCGGTCCATATGGTCCAGGAGAGCTGGCAATCCTAGCCCCTCACTGCCTCCAGACAGGATCCTGGCCAGCAGCAGAGTCTGCAGAGCCGGTGGTCTGGAACCTGCTGGCCCATGGGACCCCACAGGCTGGCCCGGCGGCTGTGATGACACCAGTGGGGCTATCGGGACCTCAGAGGCCCAGCAGGGCCCTACAGGCACCAAACAGGCCAGCACCTGGGGAAGCTGCAGTCCCTCCCCACCCCCCATCACACCCTTACTTCCCACGCCCATGATTGGATCCAGTGAGACAGAAGAGCAGGGGCAGTGTCTCCAGGCAGCGAGTGATGCTTACCCCGTCTTCTTTGAAATCGCATTGGTTGATGTCGCGTTTCTCCGAGATCAGGCACACTGTCTCTTTAATAGTAAATTTCAGCGGCTGGACAGTTTTCGAAGTCACGTCCATTCATGGTGAGCGGCAAAGCACCGGCCTCCACATTGGGCCTGTAAATGGTTTTCTTTTATGCTCCAGTATCGCCCAAGATTGGGCGTCTGAGCCGTATCGCGCTGCTTGCTGCTCACACACAATTGCTGGCAGGACTCTGTCCCTAAGGAGACCCCAGGCTAAGAACAGAAGTGTGACTTGCTCTACTCTACTGAAGTTTTAAATGAAGATTCTTAGCTATTTTGCCATTTTGTGGCCAGCGAAAAATAATGATAATCAGAGGTTAACGGGGTTTTAAAATTAAATCTGTCTTCTGCACCCAGCTAAATTGGGATCCTCTGCACAAGAAGACCCAGAGGGCACACTGAATTCAAAGGTTAAGCCTGTTTAACCCTTCCAAAACCGGTATCTTTTAACGCACTATCAACAGGATTCATTTGTAAAGGGCCAGAACCCAGACAGCACACTCAGTTGCCTTTTATCATGATTTTTAAGCCAATCCCATGGGTTTTTTCCAGGGCTGACTTATTATCTTTGAACACTTGTAGCTGATCGCTGCCTTTGCGCTCGGAGCTGTACAAACAGAGTAAGAGGCGCCTGCCCTGAATTGCTCAAAGAATGATGTACAAAGACATTCTCTGCCTTCTGAATCTGAATGAATTGCTGCTTTCAAGCGAGGAGCAGGCAGCCGCGGGGTGGTAAGAACGGGAAGTAGTGCACGGCTGTGTCCCTGCTTCTATTTCACTCGTCTTCAAAACCCCCCAGTGCCCTGCTGCTTACCAGGACTTGAGCTGACTTGTCTCTAAACTCCCTGTTGTTCCCTCCCCCCAATGTCTGCCTACTTGGAGTGTGAGCAGGGACGTGAGTGTTTGGGAAGTGCCTCGCCCATAGCTGGCACCCCCAGAAATCAGCCCTGGGTATAACAGCCACGGCGCAACCCCCTGACTGTAGGTACACGGGCTAGCATCCAAGGCAGCGATTCCCCGTTGATCTGCGCTATGAGTTCAAACCCCAAAGGGATTCTCAGGTCACTCACCCAGTCTGGCTGAGGCTCCGCTTCCAGGAGCCGGTAGGCCAGCGTTACGCCTGGCTCTTGGTTGTACACCTGTACTGCTGCTAAAATCGCATCCTCGTGGGATGGCAGAGAAGATGCGGGTGACGTGGGGGCTGCTGTGACCACCCCGACGAGCAGCAGGATTTTCAGGCAGGTCTCCATCCTGTGCCCTGTGGGGTCCAGTGCGAGCCGGTCCTGTCCCTCCTGGGGAAAGCTCTTTTATAGGCTGCCTCCTTTGCACAGGCTAGTGCCTCATTGGCTGCCTGCTCCCATCGTCCCTTAACCAATGGCGCTCCTCCTTCCATCTGCAGGCTATTTCCATTGGCCACCCTACTGGGGCAGGCACAGAGGGGATGTTGGTCTGGGGAAAAGAGGAATGTTTCAAATACTTTGCTGCAATCCTGGGCACCAATTGCTAAAGAATCCACAGTGGTGGGCTGTTCCACTGGGAACGTCTGAGCTACGTGTCTTAATTCTGTTGGCCAGCTCCTTGGCTGGTATAAATCGCCGTCGCTCCCTTCTCTAGGTGACTGGGCAACAGGATGGCAAATGAATTTTAATGCTGGTAAATGCAAAGTAAGGCATGTTGGAAAAAATAATCCCAACTATACTTACAAAATGGAGAGAGATCTTGGAGTCATTGTGGATACTTCTCTGAAAACATCCACCCAGTGAGCAGCAGCAGGCAAAAAAGCCAACAGAATGTTAGGAATCATTTAAAAAAGGGATAGAAAATAAGACAGAGAATAGCTTATTGCCACTATATAAATCCATGGTACGCCCACATCTGGAATACTGTGCACAGATGTGGTCGCCCCATTTTAAAAAGGATATCTTGGGATCTGAAAAGGGTTAGAAAAGGGCAACAAAAACGATGAGGGGTTTGGAACGGGTCCCCTATGAAGAGAGATTAACAACGAGGAGTTTTCAGCTTAGAAAAGAGAAGACTAAGGGGGATATGACAGAGGTCTATAAAATCAGACTGATATGGAGAAAGTGAATAAGGAAAAGTTATTTGTTCCCATAACATAAGAACTAGGGGTCACCAAATAAAATTAATAGGTAGCAGGTTTAAAACAAACAAAAGGAAGTTCTTTTTCACACAACATACTGTTAGCCTAAGCCATCCCTTCTTAGTGATATCCTGTTGCTCCTAGCCATATTCTATAGCCCACCATTCCCTATGTATCCCTCCTCATGGGGTTAACTTCTCTGTAGGCGCCTGCCCCCTTTTTTTCCTCATCCAGCATTCACAGTGGGACAATTTTGCGTGCATGTGGCTGTGTCCCTACCCGAGCCACGCTGAATTATTTTGGAGAGTCAGATTTCATGCGACACCGTTTCAAACGTGTTACCAAAAGCCAGTTATATCCCATCGACCACTTCCTCTTGATCCACTGCTCCTGCCGTTCTGTGAAGCAGAGCAATCAAACCGTCAGATCTCTGCGAGTGGGCTCTTACAATACTTCCCCTCCACATTAGATGCAGTAAGCAGGGTGGAGGATGGTGGCTGTGAAGCCCCCTCGATTGGGATTCTGCTATGGGGCAAGAACAGGAAGTCTCAGGAAGCATTCTTTCTTCCGCTCGTTTCTTGCGCATACTGGCCGACAGTTTAGCTACGGTTTTGAAATCCAGGCAGGACGGACCAGGTTTGTAACTGACAATTCCATCCCTCCTTGCGTGGGATGTGAGTTAAAGTCGGTGCTGTGTTCACTCTGGATTGGGCGGCAGCTGCTGAAATGCGAGACATTTCTAATATGTCTTATAACACTCCCAGTCCCCACTGCCCTTTCCGATCCTTGAGTCTTGATGCAATTGAACACACGTCTTATGCCACTTCTTCTCATGACCGGACGAAGTTAGTTTTCACCCATGAAAGCTTATGCCCAAATAAACGTGTTAGTATTTAAGGTGTCAGAGGACTCCTCGCTGTTTTTGCACATACAGACTAACACAGATTCTCTGCTGAGACTTATTATTATTAATATAACACTTTGATCACATCATGCTTTGTTCAGCAGAAGTTTCTCTCTCAGGTTAGGGAGAGCCTCTTGCATGTGCCTTCTGGGGCTTAGGTTGATGCAGAATTGTGCTTGAGTCAACTGGAATTTGGCCAATCATTTGCAGACTCTTGTAAACTCCTTGTGGGACTTCTGGTAAGTAACTTCGTTTCTCTGGGCCTCAGTTTCCCATCTGTGAATAGTAATCCTTCCTTGTTCCCAGTCTTCATCCATATGGCCTGTTTAGTTTGAACGCTCATACGGGCAAAGATTAGCCTTACTATGTGTGCATACAGTGCTCGGTCTTGGTTGATATCTGCCGATGCCCATGGCTTTTCCTCATCCAGCATTCACAGTGGGACAATTTTGCGTGCATGTGGCTGTGTCCCTACCCGAGCCACGCTGAATTATTTTGGAGAGTCAGATTTCATGCGACACCGTTTCAAACGTGTTACCAAAAGCCAGTTATATCCCATCGACCACTTCCTCTTGATCCACTGCTCCTGCCGTTCTGTGAAGCAGAGCAATCAAACCGTCAGATCTCTGCGAGTGGGCTCTTACAATACTTCCCCTCCACATTAGATGCAGTAAGCAGGGTGGAGGATGGTGGCTGTGAAGCCCCCTCGATTGGGATTCTGCTATGGGGCAAGAACAGGAAGTCTCAGGAAGCATTCTTTCTTCCGCTCGTTTCTTGCGCATACTGGCCGACAGTTTAGCTACGGTTTTGAAATCCAGGCAGGACGGACCAGGTTTGTAACTGACAATTCCATCCCTCCTTGCGTGGGATGTGAGTTAAAGTCGGTGCTGTGTTCACTCTGGATTGGGCGGCAGCTGCTGAAATGCGAGACATTTCTAATATGTCTTATAACACTCCCAGTCCCCACTGCCCTTTCCGATCCTTGAGTCTTGATGCAATTGAACACACGTCTTATGCCACTTCTTCTCATGACCGGACGAAGTTAGTTTTCACCCATGAAAGCTTATGCCCAAATAAACGTGTTAGTATTTAAGGTGTCAGAGGACTCCTCGCTGTTTTTGCACATACAGACTAACACAGATTCTCTGCTGAGACTTATTATTATTAATATAACACTTTGATCACATCATGCTTTGTTCAGCAGAAGTTTCTCTCTCAGGTTAGGGAGAGCCTCTTGCATGTGCCTTCTGGGGCTTAGGTTGATGCAGAATTGTGCTTGAGTCAACTGGAATTTGGCCAATCATTTGCAGACTCTTGTAAACTCCTTGTGGGACTTCTGGTAAGTAACTTCGTTTCTCTGGGCCTCAGTTTCCCATCTGTGAATAGTAATCCTTCCTTGTTCCCAGTCTTCATCCATATGGCCTGTTTAGTTTGAACGCTCATACGGGCAAAGATTAGCCTTACTATGTGTGCATACAGTGCTCGGTCTTGGTTGATATCTGCCGATGCCCATGGCATATGAAATAGAAAGACTGAGGTGCTTGGCAGTGAAGAATCCGTCTCTGAATCTTCATCTTCTGGCGCTTTATCGAATAGTGGTTGCTCTGAGAGTCCCAGTGCATCCTTGTGGTAGCCCCAAGGTTTAGCACTGCTCAGACATGTGCAGTCTCATTGTGGCAGGTGCATCTGTAACAAAATGTTGCATTTGTGTTTGCCTGATGTCTGTGTGCTTTCTCTTTCCAGCTCTCCAGCACAGACCTGGTCACTGATCTCGGCTTCTAGAATCAAAGAATAGGAAGGGACCTCGAGAGGTCATCAAGTCCAGTCCCCTGCCCTCACAGCAGGACCAAGCTCTGCCTAAATCATCCCTGATAGATGTTTATCCAGCCTGCTCTTAAACATCTCCAGAGATGGGGATTCTACAACCTCCCTAGGCAATTTATTCCAGTGTTTAACCATCCGGACAGTCAGGAAGTTTTTCCTAATGTCCAACCTAAACCTCCCTTGCTGCAGTTTAAGCCCCTTGCTGCTTATCCTCTCCTCAGAGGCCAAGGAGAACAATTTTCTCCCTCCTCCTTGTGACACCCTTTTAGATACTTGAAAACCCCTATCATGTAGGGAACATGACCTATGAAGCCAGGCTTCATGAACTGGGCTTGTTTAGTTTGGAAAAAAGAAGATTAAGGGGGGACATGATAGCGGTTTTCAAATATCTAAAAGGGTGTCACAAGGAGGAAGGAGAAAATTTGTTCCTCTTGGTTTCTGAGGACAGGACAAGGAGTAATGGGCTTAAAGTGCAGCAAGGGAGGTTTAGGTTGGACATTAGGAAAAAATTCCTAACTGTCAGGGTGGTCAAATATTGGAATAAATTGCCAAGGGAGGTGGTGGAATCTCCCTCTGGAGATATTTAAGAACAGGTTAGATAGATATCTGTCAGGGATAGTGTAGACGGAGCTTGGTCCTGCCTTGAGGGCGGGGGGCTGGACTCGATGACCTCTCGAGGTCCCTTCCAGTCCTATGATTCTATGATTCTATGTCCCCTCTCAGTTTTCTCCTTTCTAAACTAAACAAGCCCAGTTCTTTCAGTCTTCCCTCATAGGGTCATGTTCTCTAGACCTATTATCATTCTTGTTGCTCTTCTCTGGACCTCTCCAATTTCTCTGCAATTTGCGTAGCATTTTCCGATATTTTTTTTCTGAAAAGGCTTTTTCGAAATTTTTCCCGTTTACACTGGGCCACATTTCGGAAAAGCCTCCTTTTTTGGAGGAGCTCTTATTCCTCGTGGAACGAGGAATACAGGGCTCCCTGACAGAGTGCGTTTGCTCTTCCACAAAAAAAGCAGAAGAGCAAACGCTTTCCCTGCATGCGGCGGGGGTTTTCCAGGATACTTCTGGTATCCCAGAAAAACCCCGCAGTGTAGACATAGCCTCAGGTATCTCTACCCTGTACTGGTGTTTCTTCCCTGTATGCCCAGTCCCCTGGGTCGATAGGGCAGCTGCCTCCTACAGAGCCAGCCAGCACATCTTCCCTCTGTCCCCACTTCCTAATCCTGGAACCCAGCCACTTCCTCCAGGGTCCGTAGCACTGACACTAACAGACACGAAGGGTACGTCTACACTACATGGCTCTGCCGACGGAGCCATGTAGATTACCTTTGTAGACATAGGAAAATGAAGCACTGATTTAAATAATCGCTGCTTCATTTAAATTAAAATGGCTGCCGCGCTGTGCCGATCAGCTGTTTGTCGGCTCAGCACTGTAGTCTGGATGCTCTGCGGTTGACATCA